CACCAGTTACACTCTTCATAGGGCTGCCGGCAGCCGTGGGAGCCACATGGGACTGGCAGCTCCAGGGGCCACAGCAGCCCCGTCAGCAATACGGGGCCAGAAGCCATGGTGAGACTGATAGAAATTACAGGTTAACTTTTTAAAATGTGGACTTCCTAGTTGAGAATTCTCATTCGTGGATTAGTTGGTTCAACTGTCTTAGATTCTGTGGTTGCAGGCTGTCTTGGGCTTGAAATGCCTCCCATGGCACAATGGCAGCAAGTCCAGTGCACAGCAAGGCAGCTTTGCCTTGGGAAAAGAGGCTGGATGGAGCGCAAGAACCCTTAAAGCACTGGACACTACAGTCATTGGAACCCAACAATAAGGTTTCCTCCCCTTTCAGATTGAGCTCATCTCGTTAACATAACCCATATCAATGAATCCCTTGCAAATCCAGATTTGACACTTTGACTTCAGATACTTTGTGTCTCCAAAGAAGGAGAAAGCAACTGTAATCCCACTTTAGGACAGTGCGCTCTGCCTCCTGCAATGTGGGAGTGAAACTATTCTTAAATATTAAATTTAAATATGTGATTTAGGCTGACACCACAAATCATCCAATCATTGCAAGCAACGTTCCTCTTTGAGGTTTCTTGTTTAGAGTTTGTGTTTCTATGTTTTTGTGTGCGTGTGATATACATAAAATTTACAGTAATCATACTAGAATTACAGACTTAAATGAGCAGTCCTGTGGAACCTTAAAGAGTAACACCTATATTAGCTCACAACCTTTCATGGGTACAACCCTCTTACTTATCTGAAGTGGTTTTTATCCATGAAAGCTCATGATCTAATATATTTGTTAGTCGCTAAGGTGCCACAGGACTGTTTGTTTTTAAAGTTACAGACTAACATGCCTACCCCTGAGACTTATCTCTTGTGAGCTATAACGTTTCTTTGCAGCTATTCATTGTGAACAACTTTGTTGCTTTGCTATTAATATTCTAAATAGCTATCTTGGTTGATCGATAGATCTGTAGGAGGAGGCATCTTCTAGGAAAAGAATAAACTTGGTTTTGAACAAGATGTGTAGGTTACAGAAAACTTTGAAATACAAGTGTGACCAAAATGTCTGGCTATGTAGTAATCTGCTGAAGGTGCATGTATGCAACTGTATCCCTTGCAACAATTCCTTCACCAGAAACTCTGAATGGCTGAGCAATTACTAGGTAACAAAAGAAGTATGTGATGACTTTACATTGGGTTTCTCACCTTGTTGGCAAGAAGGCGATGAAATTCCCCTTTGGGAACCACGTAATTTGAATAACTATCGCCTGGTTGCTAATATTCGCTTCTTGGGCAAGGTACTTAAGAGGATGGTGGTGTTGCAACTCCAAGCTTTCTTGGAAGAAATGGATTATATAGCTTCATTTCCGTCTGGCTTTAAGCCAGGTTTTGGACCTGAAACAGTCTTGGTTGCTCTGGTAGACAGGGGTAGTGCAACCCTGTTGATTCTCTTGAACCTCTCAGCGGTTTTTAATGCCATTGACCATGGTATCCTTTTGGAGTGGCTGGTGGAACTGGGTATCGGAGGCACTGTTTTGCAGTGGTTCCAGTCTTGCCTGTTGGAACACTTTCAAAGGGTGGAGCCAAGGGACTGCTATTCGACCCTGTGGCATTTGTGCTACAGGGTCCTGCAAGGTTCCCTCTTGTCAGCTATGCTGTTTAACATCTATATGAAACCGTTGGGAGAGGTGGTAAGGAGTTTTGGAGGACAGTGCCATTAATATGCAGATGACACCCAACTCTATTTCCCTGTGACATCAGAACCAGGTGTGGCGGTGACTGATTTTAAACTGATGTCTGGAGGCGGTGATGAGCTGAATAAAGTCAATAAGCTGAAGCTAAATACAGATAAGACTGAAGTCCTGTGGACCTCTAACATTTGAGAACCAAATTCTTTTAGTGGCCAGGAGTGCTTTTGGGCCGCTTCTGCTGATCCACCAGCTGTGACACTTCCTGAAGAAGCATCACTTGGCCACAGTGATCCATGCTCTTGTTACATCCCAATTGGATTATTGTAATGAGCTTTATGTAGGGCTGCCTCTGAAGACTCTTTGGAAACTTCAACTGGTCCAGAATGCGACTGCTCGAGTTTTAACTAATACTCATACAGAGCGCATTATGCCAATACTCCAGGGCTATGTCTACACTGGCATGATTTTCCAGAAATGCTTTTAACTGAAAAGTTTTCCATTAAAAGCATTTTTGGAAAAGAGCGTCTAGATTGGCACAGATGCTTTTCCGCAAAAGCACTCTTTGCAGAAAAGCGTCTGTGGCCCATCTAGACGCGCTTTTGTGCCAAAAAGCCCCGATTGCCATTTTCGCAATCGGGGCTTCTTTGCACAAAACAAATCTCAGCTGTCTACACTGGCCCTTTTGTGCAAAACTTTTGCGCAAAAGGGACTTTTGCCCGAACGGGAGCAGCATAGTATTTCTGCAAAATGCACTGATTTCTTATAGTAGGAAGTCAGTGCTTTTGCGGAAAGTCAAGCGGCCGGTGTAGACAGCTGGCAAGTTTTTCTGGAAAAACGGCTGATTTTCCAGAAAAACTGGCCAGTCTAGACACAGCCATTCATTTCCTAGTAATAGTGATTAACATTAATCTGTTTGCTGTTGGGACTACTCCTCATATCACATCCAAATCTTCCATTTCTCAGTCGGACTCACATTAAATAAACCACAAAGAAACACCCATAATTACTGCAGAACATAGATATCCAGCCCCAATTATTGTTCTTGGAGGCATTTCAGAGCAGATAAACTAAATGAGAAGCATACTATAACTCAGGAGTAGCTATGACATCAGGAGAAATGGCACAGATGACTTCTAAGCTAGTATTCCTGAAAGAGAGGCGAGGCCAGTAGCTGTCAGCAGCTGAAAATGAAACCTACCAGTTTCTAATCAGTACAGAAGCTCACTTCCAAAAAAGTACCATAGTTGCTCTCCAGACTATTTGTTTGGGTGCTGAAAGACAAAATTCTCATGTCCAAAAGTGAAAATGTAATGGAGGTTCTTTCTGAACAAAAGTACCTCATGTTAATTTGTATGGGGCTGACTTTCTATGGGGCTCTTCTGTCTGGATAATAATATGCTCGGATCTTTGGCTACTGAACCCTGTCATTTTAACATTCTTGCTGGTGCAATCATAGATATAGGGAAAAAGTAAACTTTCAGTTTAAAGTGTTATTAGTTTTGTGCATGTTGCAAAACTCAGGTATATGGTTTGTCTCCTTACACAGATCCAAAACACGGGTTTTGCAAAAGGTGTGCTGAAAAATTGGAGCGTACTAACAGAGTATAGGTTGAATTCAATTGTAAAAACATGTCCCAGAGGAGCGTTGAAATCCCCAGGATTGTTTTTTCTTGATTCTGCAAAGGGCACAATCTTGTGTTAGGAGAGATCAGATGACCTACCAAGTCATTTCCAGCATTTATTTCCATAAGCTCATCTTGACTATGGGCTATATCAGTGCTTCTGCGATCGATTCAGTGGGTCTGGTGACATGACATGTTAATGGGAGAGCATTTCCCACCAACACAGCTGTAAGACAATATAAGCTGCATTGCATTATGTCATGTATCTTAACTACTGTAACTTGGATCAACTATTCTAATTAGCATAGACCAGGCCTATGACACTCTGGAACAGGTTAGGCTATTGCTGAATCTTAATTGGAGTTCTTCATCTATAAAAAGGAGACAGACCATACACTGTAAGCTGATGATCTTTCACTCATGTGGGGTTGCACCTACTTACAAAAGAGTTGAATTTGGTTTGATATATCGTAAGTTATAGCCGTAAGAGAGCTGGGGTTAAAGGAATGGTCAGTCTAGAGGATTTTACTGGACATTCAAGGGCAAATGCCATGCAAACAAATTGTCACCACAGTGCCCCCAAGCAACTGACTCAGATCCTTGTTTGAAAGAATATCAAATTACTCTAGCCAGGGCTTTTCTATTCTAATTCATCTCCTGAAGTCTGTGGCAAACTGAGAAGCATCAGGCTTTGCTTGACAGGAGTTAGAGAAAATTGAAGTAATGTGAGCTCGCTGCTGCCTGTGTCTGGTACAGTGCAAACTCAACTGAAAACTCAGGATGTTTAATTAAACATATGAAGAAACAGCCCAAGGGAAACTGTCTGATTTCCCAACAGGACTGCATCTCCATGAGAAATTTTTTAGGAGCCACAAAGGAAAAAAAAAAGGTGTTAAATCACTGTTGTACAATCTGCACACCTTCAGGTCCATGGACCACAAGTTGAAAACCACTGTTCTGATACTCAGAGGTGTGAAAGGTTATTGGCAGACTGCATCCCTCTGTCAGCAGAGGGATGCAGATTAGGCAGGTCGATATTGCAAATGAGGCGGGTGCCTAACTTGCATAAAAATGGCCACCGCGTTTTTCCAACTCAGCACTTTGTCAGCAAAAAGCGGCAGTCTAGCAGCGATCTGTTGAGAGACAGAGAGAGAGAGCCTTTTTCGACAGATCCCTTATGCCTCCTTGGAGGGAGGATTTTGAAAGGAAACACCCACATTCATAATTTGAACAATAGTATCTTAAAACAAGTCTGAATGACTTCATGACCATAATTCAGTTTATGGGGCTTTCCAACCAAATGAGTTGGACTATCATCAGTATTACCACATAAAATCTGTAAAACAATGGTTGTTTCCCTACTTTCAACAGTGGTCTACCCCATTACATGCCAAAGATATTTGGAGCTTAATTAGTCCACCCACACTATGCCTGGGCAGGGATGACCTCAGAGGAAGGCAGTCTGGCAGGAGAGGGCTGACTAGAGAGGAAGCACAAGGCAGGCCATGTGCCATGTAATGCAGGCATGAGCAAGCAGCGAGCAACCCAAAGGAGCCTAAGAGTCTGAGGGGCAGAGATGGATTTAAGAACTGCCAAGCTTTTTTTCTGACTTCAAAGTAATCTTCATCTTACAATTCACTCCTTAAAAGTGGTTACTTTTATTGATGTCAGTGGTTGAATCTTAAAGACAGGACAGTCCACGTACACTCCTATTCATTAGATGTGCTGAATCAGCTAGGCTTGTGGCATCAGGAAGAGGGTAAGCAAGCACACAGTTGCATTCACAGATGAACAGGAGACACCTCTGCCTTGCAGTTCATGATAAAATGCACCATACTGTGACAGTAGGTTATGAAACTTCGTCGTAGGATCTCAAGTAGGCTGGCTTGGAAAACTTCCTCAGCTTTTCTTGGTTTTGAAATGCACGGCTACGTTGTGGGACAAGACCCAGAGGAGGCAGATGAATCTACGTACATAAAAATAAAGCTAACAGATCTTGTGCAAGCTGATAACCCACTCAGAGTCCAACCCACTTAGAGACCAGGAGACAGTCTTACAATGGGACTCCTCCAATGTTTTCACTCACACTTGGAAACTATTCCCTCATACATTGGAAGGAATAGATCCCCCCCCCCTCAGGTTCTCACACTTCTACTGGAAAAGCCCATTTCCCAGTTGATTACAATTATGTGCAACTTTCAAGCTCTGCATGTTTGTTGTATACAACAGCTGGGTGCCCAGTATAGTCCTTTAAAACATCAAACTACAAAAGGCTGTATCTATAGTTTAACAACAAACTATAAGGATACATCATTTGCTGAAATAGTATTGAATAAGATATTCCAGCAACATGGCTTTACAAGATCCAAATTTACAGTATTATCAGAAGAGTTGGGACCAAACAACAGTATCAGAAAACAGTACAGTATATGCCGGGGTAGACAACCCGTTCCGGACGAAGAGCCAAGATCCAGCGCGAAGAGCCAGGGCAAAAAGTTGTAGAGGGAAAAAAAAAAGACTGGCCCTTTAAGAAGGCTTTTTGAGACTTTGGCCTCAGCAGGCTCCTGTCTGCAGCCACAGCTGCCATATTGGATCCTCCATTTTGATCCAGATGGCTCCCCTGCCCTGGTGAGCACAGGGCAGCCGGGAGGCATGGGCCGTGTTCAGGGGGCGCGGGGACAGCTTCATGAGCCTTGGGAGGTGGGGGGGAGGGGAAGAGAGCCGCAGGTTGGCCACTCCTGGTATATGCCATACATTCCTTAGTAAAAATAATGGAAGCGGTTAAGTGGTTGTGCTTGGTTTATTGTTGATACATGGGTAGTAACAAATCCCATGCTGTACATTCTCAAAGTCTACTGCCCAGTTGGGGATACAGGTTTATAGTGAAACGCCATATGAAAAGCACAATTAATCACTGAGTTTATCCCATTGTTCTGTTTGTACTCTGTCAAAATGACCAAAAAAAAGTCTTTTTACCTAATAAGTAAATATAAAGTTTGTAGAGGAACCACACAGCTAATCCCCTGCCCTGATAGAGATTAGAAAGGGTAGATGTAAATAGGCAGGCATTGTTGTCTCAGGAGATAATGGACTTAAGGATAGCTATTTAGATGCAAATATTAGTAAAAATGACTCCGTGAAGCAGCAATATTCTTAACATTTATACACACTCTAAAGATCCTTTAATCTCTATCAGAACTTTTATAGGGCTTGATCCCCTAACGCAGTGTTTCTTAAACTTTTTAAAACCAAGGGCCACCAAACAATTTTTTATGAGGAATACCAAGAATTTTTTTGATGAGCGCAAAAAAAAAAAAAAAAAACTTTGGGGGGAGGGAAGGTTCAGGGGAAAGTTATTGAACAAAAATAATTAGGGTGGCCATTTTGAATTCTGTTCTCCACAGCATACTGGTGTGCCACGGAACACAGTTTAAGAAACACTGCCCTAAAGAATAGAAATTTTAAAGCCCTCCCCAGGTTCAGCTAAAAAGTGATACACAAATAGCACTGTATACTGGAGAGAGTGTGACTCAGTTGCCAATAACGTAAGGCAACAACTTAATACAAAGATGAAAAACTGGATTATGATTTTCTTGAAAGGAAAGACCTATGAAGGTAAATGGTAACAAACAGGAGTAGAGGGGAAATCTCTAAGGATGAGGTAAGAAGGAAGGACAACATATATGAAATAAATGAATGGTACCCAGGAAATAGCATTGGACAGTGAAACAAGACAGAGGGCCTTCTACAACTCCTATGTTTAAATAAGTAAAAAAAGCAACCTCAATGTATGATTTTCAGAACAGAATAGAGGGGTCGAAAGGGACCTACAGACACAAACCCTACCCCCCAACAACAGACCAGATCTAATGACCAGGATTCACAGTATAAGCTAACTAGCCTATGAGGATATTGATGCATTTGCTCAAAAGTTGACAGGCTAACTATTTCTAATCTCTCATCCGGAAAGATTTTTAACCACTACACTTGTTAGACAAGATGGGTGAGGTAATATCTTTTATTGGACTAATCTGGTAGTGAGTGAGAGAAGCTTTTGAACCATGCAGTCTTGGAATGGTACCATGAGGGTCACAAGGTGGAAGAGATTGTTCAGCACACATTCTAAGAGGTGGTTCAATGCAAAATGGCCCATTAACAACTCTTCAGTCATAGGGCAAAAGGAGGGGTTTACTGGGCTAGTGATTGTTGTGATAAGCAAATCCACTGTCTGTTCAGGCCACAATTTTTAGTATATCTAGAAGAATTATGAATTTAACCTCCCTGGCTCATCTTTTCCTTGCATTTAGCTGTGACACTTGGAGCACCTTTCCCAGACATGTTGAAGAGCTCTGTGAAGTTCCAATAAAAGATATTACCTCATCCATCTTGTCTCTCTAATGTCCTGGGACTGAAACAGCAACAACTACACTGCATACACTATATCAATAGTCCTTACCAGCTTTATGAACACTTCTTCAAAGTCAAAATTGCCTTAACTAACATACTGCCTACTCTTTTAGCTCACACTAACATATTTAACCTTTTTTCTACTTTTTCTCAGAAGTAACAAATTTGTTTACAATGAAGGAAAGGACAGGTGGAGGAAGCTTTAAATTGCATTTGGCTAATTTGGCTCTTATTCAGCGAAGCACTTATAAACACGCTTAACTAGTAGCATCATTGTCAACACTCACATTTTAGTGTGTTTCTTAAAGCCTCAGCTCTTGGAGTTGTGTGATTATGTAAAATTCTTGCCTATTGTTTAAAAAATAAGTTTCTCACCCTCATGTTTGTGAACCAAAGCTTTGAAATATCCAATATGTACTCTAAAAGGCTCAAAACCCAGAAGCAAAATGCAATGTATTGTTTTAAAAATCTCATTTTAAGCCAGCCTCGTTACTTTTGAGGGGGCTGACTGGAAATGCTAATTCTTTTGGGGGGAGGAGAGCCACAATTTTACAATGCTTGGTGGTTGGCAATATCAGAATATCCCAGTTGAAATAAACGAGATTACTCACGAGTTTGAAGTTAAGCATGTGCTTGCTGAATAAGGGACTAAATACACACTGACACAGATATTGTGACTGGATTCACACTCACAGGTCTTGGGTAAGGGATGTGATAGTGAAGTCCGATTTCTACTCTTGCCTTGCATTCTTCTATACACTGTTTAATCAGCTCAGGATCTGTTAGCTAGTCAAACAAATACATGTAAGAAATTAGTACTTGTGCATCATTTACACCTGAATTCACATCTACATGATTTACTTTTTTGTTTTTATATTTAAATGTAGGGCAGGGATTTCCTTGTCCCTGGAAATATCACTACAATAATCCTCCAGTTCATAGCTATGTCGTAACATTCCCAAAGATTATGGGACAAGCCGAACAATTTGGGAAAAGTCAATACATGCCCAGGTTATCTTCACGTCTTTAAAGATGAAATTCCCTCAGATCAACCCTAGCAGTTCTCGACTCATACAGTTGGGAGCCAGGGACTGTGAGGAAGACAAGGATTTCGGAGCTTAGATTTCCTGCAAGATCTGAGGAGAATTTTACTCTAACATGTTAACTGAGTATCATCTGTGAAAAGAAAATGCATATGTAAATTAATGCATTTATGGAAAGAACTCAAGTAGTCAAATATAAAATGGTTCCATTTATGTCTATATCTATAGAAGAACTGGAGAAAAATAAAGTGTTTAGATTCATGGCCTGTCACTCCATCCACGAAATCCCTCCAAAAGTCAATAAAAGTGTTGTGTAAAAAAAATTCATAAATGAAGTCCCACACAATATTTAGAAAGTAAATGCAAGTGGTATCAATTAGGGGTTTAAAATCCTGTTTAACTGGTCATCTGGTTAAACAATGTTTAACCACTTAACCTATTAAAGGGAGGGTGGGTCCATCGGCCACTCCAACTCAAAACTGCCTCTCTAGTGCCCCCTCCCCCACTGCAGACAGGGGCTGCTCCAGCTGGCTGAAGTGCCTCCCGCCCACAGCAGGGCCCAGGGAGCTGATCCAGCCCCCACCAGTTAATCGGAATTGGTAAGCCTCGTCTGTTAAGGGTGAGGCTTATCAGTTAACTGGTTAACCATTCATATCTCTAGCACTAGTTCCCATATAAAAATCAGGACCCTAATATGGTGAAAGCAAAACAAAATCATTGCTCATTATTGAAGTATGTGGCTGTGTCTAGACTGGCAAGTTTTTCCGCAAAATCATCTGCTTTTGCAGAAAAACTTGCCAGCTGTCTACACTGGCCGCTTGAATTTCCGGAAAAGCACTGATGATCTCATGTAAGATTGTCAGTGCTTTTCCGGAAATACTATGCTGCTCCCGTTTGGGCAAATGTCTTTTTCCGAAAGACTCTTGCACAAAAGAGCCAGTGTAGACAGCACTGTACTGTTTTCCGCAAAAAAGCCCCGATTGCGAAAATGGCGATCGGGGCTTTTTTGCGGAAAACTGCACGGACGCTTTTCCGCAAAAAGTGCTTCTGCGGAAAAGCATCCTGCCAATCTAGACGCGCTTTTCCGAAAATGCTGTTAACGGAAAACTTTTCCGTTAAAAGCATTTTCGGAAAATCATGCCAGTGTAGACGTAGCCTGTGTGTTTGTGCTCTTTGAGCAAGGAAAGAAAGGTTTTAAATTCCAAATACTGCTTTAAATATATTGTGCGCACTTTCTATAGAGGAAAACAAGCCTTTTAAAGAAAGTGCTGATAATAATGGTATTAAGGGCAAAATCAGCAGGCGAAGGAGCTACTTAATTCTATCTGCCATGAAAGTAGTTTGGAAAGCTAGACAAAAGCATCAGTAAAAATCCTAAGCTGCTTCAGATAACAATTTCACAGGCAGTATACTGCAGTTAACATTTTTTCCCTCCTCCTTGGCAATTCCTTGAAAGGTCTCTAGACTAGAGATTTAACAGTATAGTCGATGAACTAAGCAAAAGTGTACAGGCAGTCCCCGGGTTACGTACAAGACAGGGACTGTAGGTTTGTTCTTAAGTTGAATCTGTATGTAAGTCGTAACTCGCGTCCAGATTCAGCTATTGCTGACCAGCAGAGTTGCTCTGCCCCGGGCTTCCTGGAATCAGCCGCTGATCAGTTTCAACAGGCTGAATCTGGACGCGTCCCGCCGCTCCCGTCCTCCGGGGTGAGACCAGGGAGACGCGGAGCAGCTTTTCTCGCCCCAGAGGACGCGGGCGGTGGGACCGCGGCACATCTGACATAAGTTGGATCCGCGTAACTCGGGGACTGCCTGTATAGGTTAATGCTATAGACTAAATGCGTTTCCTCCTCCCCCACCTGTAATTTTTTTAGCAGGCTGGCCAGCAGCCTGGCTCAGAATGGCTTGTGATGGGGCCAGGACCTACCCCTGCTGTGGCTCTGCATTTAAAGTGTATTAGGAACCAGGCAGACAGGCAGCCTGGCTCAGTCCTGACCCATGCCAGGTCTGGGAGCTCGGACATCCCCTGGAGAAGAGCTGCTGCCATCCTGCACTGCTCCCTCTAATCAGAGGCAGCAGCATGGGGCAACAGGCAGCCAGTCTGTGAGGGGAGCTGGTTTTTAAACTGGCTCCCCTTGTGGACCAACTACCACCTGGCACCCTATGCTGCTGCCTCTGATACAGAGGCAGCAGCGCAGAGTGACAGGGAGCTCCTTGAGAGTGGGGCCAGAGCACACTGGCTGTTGGCCCCGCCCCTGGGCACTACAGAATAGATGTTACCTATAAGAATTCATGAGGTTAATCAACTAGTCAATTAACCGATATTTAATTTCCCTACTCTAGACCTTTCTAAACTCAAAGAAATGAATGAAGAACTAGAATGATTCAAGATACCTTCTTTGGGGAGGTTTAAAATTGCTTTTTGAGGTGCTAGAGAAGGAACTTAAGATCTTGCATGATGAAATTCAACAAAAACAAGTGCAAAGTACTACAGTTCGGTAGCTGTGCATTTTGCCTTCCTAAGGGGAATTCAGAATACACAGCAATATTGAAAACATTATTATAAGTACATAAGACTAGAAATTGTAAAAACCAGCAGTGCAAAAAAGGATATCATCCTGAGTTGCATTAACTGGAATGCCATATGTAAGACACAGGAGATAATTGTTCCAGTTGGTACTGGTGTGGCCTCAGATGGAGCACTGTGACTTTTGGGTACTACACTATAAGAAGGATGTGGACAAGCCAAAAAATCCAGAGAGCTACAAAAAAGTTAAAAGGTTTAGAAATCCCTATCTTCAAGATAAGTTTTTTTTTTTTTTAAGGGTATATTAAGTTTTGATAGTCTGGCACGTGGGGGGAGGGGAGGCACCTGACGACTTTCTTCAAGTGTTAGGGGTTGTTAAAGAGGACAGTGAACTGACCTGCATGTTCATTGAAGGACAAAAGTTATTGGCTTAGTTGACAGTACGGAGGATTTATATTAAATATCAGGAAACGCTTTAACTATATGGATAGTTAAATACTGGACTAGATTATCCAGGGAGTTGTGGAATCTCCGATACTGGAGGCTTTTAAGAACTGGTTAGATAACCTCCTTATGAGGAAGGTATAGGTGTAGATCTAATCCTGCAGGGAGCTTGATCAGTGACCTCTCAAGATCCTTGTGACAGATATTACCACTGCATGCAATTTCTAGGGGACCATATTGTATTAAGTTGTTGGAGAAGGCTACCACAGCTCCCCCAAGAAATAAAAATGGAGGTGGGGGGATTAAGCAGCCTCACTCAGGCTGTAAATACCTCCAGTAGTACCATCCTTGGGGTGGCTTGCACATACTGGATTTTCAGAGACCAATAAAGGCCTTTTTGTATAGCAAGACTGATTCACTAAGTGGACAAGACCCTATGTCCAAGGGAGTTTCCAACCCTTACAAAAGGGTTGGAAGGACTGACTGAACAGGACCCCATATGGGTGATGTCTGGTAAGCTCTTAATGCTTGTATAGGGAACTTGATTTTTATATGCTCTCTCCTCCTGAGAGAGGTGACTGCCAGGAACCTGAAACCTTAAGTGGGCGTCTTTGAGGACAGCTGGGGCAGGGGTCAAACATGCAGTGAACACTGAGCATGAAAGACTCCTTGCAGCCTTATATTTCTATAAATTTCCAAACTGGAGACCATTTTGGGAATTCAACTCTTGTTCACATTTTTCCAACCATTAAAACAAAACAGGGTGTAAAGAATGAATCACGGACTAACTTTGAAAGCCAGAAAGAGATGCACTCACATCTTTGTTTTTTTGGAATAAGGTTTTGGCTTCATTTATAATGTACTGTTTCTCTTTAATAGTGTCTTCCGTCTGTCCTGAGGCAGATTGCCATTTTTTGGCTATTCTGAATATCCTGCGGTAAAGGCCAAGAACTTCTTGTCGTGTAACTGATGTCATCTTAAGGGGGGAAAAACAGAAAAGAAACATATGCGCAAACATTTGGGTTTATAAAAGGCCAACAAACACATGTACATTTTCTTACACTACTCTTAATTAGCTTTACAAATATTTCCTCTTTCTCTGAAATCTGCTGAGAAATGTGAAAAGAAGAAAAGCTAAACACAATGGTTACCTGCCAACCCTTGGGAATATTTATACTCTAGATAAGAAAAGAAAACTGCCTAAGGTCCTAAACCAGCAGAGCTTTAAAACAGTTCTTATTCAGCAAAGAGAGTAAGCACATACTTAACTCCCACTGACATCAAAAGGATTTATACATAGGCAACTGCTTAACTTTAAGCATAATTGCTTTGCTAAATCTGAGTCTTGGATCCAGGACACTTGGGGGCTAGTCTTGGGTATCTGTAAAATGGGCATAATACACCTTACCCACCTTTGCGAAGCATCTTGAGACTACAAATGAAACAGCATTGATATTGTGGAAGGCAATATGTTTCTCTGTTCATAGCACCATTTGTGATGATGTATTACAGTGTCTGGTTATAGTTAGATTTAAAACAACAGAGCTAGCATGGTGTGAGCACTATACTAGAAGCTAGAAACTTCTGAATTCTAATCCTGGCTCTGCTATTGCCTTTCACTGCGGACTCTGAAAAGTCAATTATGACCCGATTATCAAATGGCTAAGCACCCATGCTGCCTACTGAACTGAACAGAATGTTGCAGCTAGCTGCTCAGAACTGTTAGAAATCAGGGTTGGATTCCATGTGAGTTTTGCCATTGACTTGAACAGGGCCAACATTTCATCCCAAGCTAATAACTCCCTGAACCAAATTCATTGTTGATCAGATTTGCAGAAATGAAACCTTAGCATTAGCTGCAAAACTCTCAGACACTTTACTGACCAAAAATGCAAAATGCTACAATATGACAAAATAAGTATGTGAAAGCAAAGCATTATGATGGATATATGAGGGGGAAAAAAAACCAACATCAGTGGGCAGATAGGACCATGGATGCTCTTGGACCAAAGAGCCTGGGAGCCTAAGGGCAGGAGGGCCAGCCAGGCTGGGGCATCAAGGTTGGCAGCCCAGCTGGGGGCAGCACGAGGCCGGAGCCCCATGTCAGCCTCTAGCAGCCTGCGGCAGTGCAGGCTGGCAGCCCAAATCGGCATAGGTCTGGAGCCCTCCAGCAACCTCTGGGAGCGTGGGGCTGAGGCCAGAGCCCAGTGGCAGCATGAGGCTGGAGACCCCTGACAATCCCCAGGAGTGCAGGGCCGGGGCATCATGGCTGCCCCTGTGAGCCTGTGCCACCCAGGCAGCTGTCAGCAAATGAGCAGGGAGGGTGAGACAGCAGTTGACAGTAAGGTTGCGGGGAGGGTGAGACAGCCTGCCAGCAGCAGGCAATGGGCTTGGGAGCTGGTGACAGGAGACCTCCCCCGTTCCAGCAAATTCTCTCATTTGGGATTGGTTAGGTCCCAACAGTGCCGGACCAGGGAGATCCAACCTGTCGTTTCTGTGACTGACTCTACCTCAGTGAAGCCAGAGAACTACACCCTAGCGAGTGTGTTCCCACTGTGTGACAATGACTAGTGTGACAATGACTAGTCAACAGCAGGAGGATATTCTGAATTACTTTCACTTGCCCATAAGGTCTGAAGTGGATGAGTTCTCCACATGAATATTAAATATATGACAACTAGCCGTTATCAACAGTTTCCCAATATACCTAAATTGTGCCCTCAAACGTGCACAAGTACTCTCTTGGTGAAAGCAATGAAAGTTGCACACAATCTGAAAGCAGAATGGATGCTGTTGCCCTGTGCTTAGTCTTTTAATGCTACCAATTTCAGTGAACTAAAACCATTATTTGATTTCATGGCCTGTTGGGGATTCTCAGGAATACAGATGTAATGAAGTTTTTCTAATGTTCATGCTCTTACTAGAGACTACTACTTTGGTTCCATTTTTTAAAAAAAGTAAACTGTTTGAGAGAGAAAATTGACTTTTTTGTCCACAACTAAAAGATTTTTAAATAGGGTTTTGCTAAATGCGTTTATGCTGATTCTAGAAAACAAACATCCACAAGAACACAAATAATATAGGCCTCAAATCAGCATACATGCTTAACTTTATACACATAAATAGTTCCATGTCAGTCAATGGAAGAACTGATGTGTTTGCAGTATTTGGGTCGTCTACTGTAATTTGTATTCGTCTACAATAGAACATGAATAGAACAGTCTAGAATAGACTTGTCCACATAGAACATGAAAAGACAAGTTAATAGTAATGCTTTAAGGGAATCCAGAACTGTAGACTCATCTTCCATAGGAGCCGCTGTACTGAGTCCCCATGGCCTCATCTCTGGTCAGTTTCAGCAGCGGCTGAATCTGGACGCCAGTTCCGACTTACATACAGAATCAACTTAAGAACCCCAAGCGTCCCCAAGTCAGCTGCTGCTGAAACTGACCAGCGCTGACTACAGGAAGCCCAAGGCAGAGGTGTTCTGCCCCGGGCTTCCTGGAATCAGCTGCTGATCAGTTTCAGCAGCAGCTGACTTGGGGACGCTTGGGGTTCTTAAGTTGATTCTGTATGTAAGTCGGAACTGGCGGGCACTTTCAGCAGCGGCTGAATCTGGACGCCAGTTCCGACTTACATACAGATTCAACTTAAGAACAAACCTACAGTCCCTATCTTGTACGTAACCCGGGGACTGCCTATATTATATAACCTTTGACAACCTGATCTGAGCTTATCTTTGAGGGCTAGAAACATACTTTTTTGCGGGAAGGGCTTGAGAACAGGGACGGTGAAGTCGAGTCTAACATTATAATGTGACTCCAAGAGCTGGATCCTAGGCATACACCTTTAGTTCATATGCAATAATCTGTCCCTGCCAGTTTTTTTGCACACTGGTTTTAGTGTACTCCCATATTTGAAAATCTTAGCTGTTCTACAAATTAACTTCTCTTCCAAATGCCTTTAACCTTTTTAATTTAACACACACACTGAATTTTTTTCTCATATTTCCCATGAAGTTGGAGTTAACACTGTTCTACTTATTTCCTTGTTTATGTATTGTCAGAGCAGAAGTAGGCTGTCATGTTAACACATGCAATGAAGCAGCAGAAGGTGGGTAATATGAAGCTCCTCTAAGAGTCACTGGCCAGTTTTCACCTTGGCATTTAAGTCAAAAGTGTTTCAAAAATGGTCATTAACCAGCAGCTCCCACTGTTGATACTGACCAACAGTTTTTAACAACAGTAACAGACAGATTATATCCAGTTCCTTCAGAGATGCAGAAAAGAGGAAGTTGATTCAAGGAAGTCTCTCCAACATCTTTGAAGAAATAAACAAATTCAAACTAATGTTGGATTCTGATTTGAGTAACACCAATGTAAATCTGAAGTATCTACATGATGTCAATAGGATTAATCTGAATTTACATCAATGTAAATAATCAGAATCTAGCCTCAGGTTTAAGAGTCTTATATTTATGAAAGTCTCTCCAAGATGGGTGTAATTTGATCAAAAACTCAAAGCGAATGGTCAAGTAATGTAACTTGCATGGATCTACCATTCAGTCAATGTGCAAAAATCAATTGGTATACGTTGAATTAATAGAGAGATATCAGGAAAACCAATGAAGTGTAAAATTTCCACCTACAGACAGCTGAAGATCAGCTTGTCTCTTTTACCAATAGAAGTTGGTCTAATAAAAGACAGACAGTCTAATACCTTATACCAGTGGTGGGCACATATGAGCTTGCTGGTACTGGTTCACCAGGGTTAGCCCCTGTATTTATCTGTGCCTCCACAGGTATGGGCAATTCCAGCTCCTGTTGGGTGTGGATTGCCATTCCCAGGCAATGGGACCTGCAGAAAGCAGTGTCATGATCCATGCCTTTTCCTGCAGCTCCCATTAGCCAGGAACAGTGATCCACAGCCAACAGGAGCTACAATCACCTATACCAGTGGAGGCTCAGGTAAAATACAGTGGCAGCAGACTGCCAGGGCCTAACTCTGGAGAACCATCACTGTCTTATACTGACAAGATGGATAAAGCTACAGTACCTTATCTTACATGCCAAGGAAAAGAGTAGCAGGTAATAGGAAGTGTAAGTCAAGTATTTTGCACACCTACTGTATGCCAACTGGGTTATACCACAATATACACCACTAATTTTTTTGTTATACCAACACAATTTTTTGAGTTTACAGCACTAACTTACACACCACTTATTTCTTTGAGGAATGTGGCCCATAAAGGTTAATGATAGACATTTTTTTAAAGTTTATAACCTCCCGTTCCCTTGGCTGAACTTTATAATCTACTATATATTCTAGAGAGTTTATCTGTCTGATCAAGACCACCAAATTAATATACAGCTTCCTCTTATAATTTTAAAGCAATGTAAGTTTTTGGCAGTGCCAGGAAAACAGGATGTGCTTGGAATGGGATTGTTTCTCAAAGCCAAACAAATGAGAAACACCAAAACAAGTATAGTCCTCCAAGCTGACATAACTGAGTGAATGATAAAAAAGAATGAACCAAGATGAGCCAGAAAAAATTCATGAACCTGGAATAGGATCACTTCTCAATAAACCTTGCAGAAAAGAGATGAAACAGAGAAATTTGGAGTAGTGCTCTGTTTTAGCAAAGCTAAATCAATGCTTAAAATTTGAAAACTAGAATACAATGTTATTGGAAACCAAACTGACTACGCCTCTCCCCCTTGTTTGTTATAGTGAATAAGAATTTATAGGGATGAACAAACAAAATACCCTTGATGGAAATTCCAAATAACAGACCCAAGCAATGTTGGATAAATCTGCTAGTTACAATATAAGCTAAGTTAGTGTTCATAACAAAACAACCAGGAAAAGATGAAGACAGGCTACGTCTACACTGCAAAGTTTTTGTGCAAAAATGGCTGTTTTTGCGCAAAAACCTGCAGAACGTCCATACCTCAAATGTGCTTTTGCACAAGTAAATCAGCAGTAAAATGGCAGAACAGATGGCTTTTGCTGGTGTAGGTAAACCTCCTTCTATGAGGCATAACTCCCTTTTGCGCTACAGCTATTGCGCAAAAAGGCAAGTGTGGACACTCCAGAGGGGTTTCTTGTGCAAGAAACTCCTATGGGAAAAAGCACAGGTGCTCTGATGGCCATTCTGTGAACAGCTATCAGAGCTTTCTTGCGCAAGAGCGTCCGTGCAGTGTGGACTCTCTCTTGCACAAAAGCACATCACTTTTGCGATGCGCTTTGAGGTGTGGACGTGCTCTTGCGCAAAAACTTCTTGCGCAAATACTCTTGCACAAAACGCTTCTTGCGCAAGAAGTCTGCATTGTAGATGTAGCCAGAGAGAGAAAAATGTTGAGTTGCAGTCCAGATCTGATCCTCCCTTACATCACACACCAAATGTGTCAGACTTCAGTTTCAAGTAAGTCTGTGTTGGGTGCGGTGACTAGCAATTTTGGCAACAGTCTTGTAAAAGATCATGATATTGGACATCATCACACTTTTGATCAATTTGCAAATTCCTATTATCAGTGGACACATCAGGAACATGTGATGGCCCATTGTGTCCAAAACTGCAAAGAAACCTTGAGTAGTTAATGAATTACTGCATGCTGAAAATGTAAACCTTTTTGTTGACAATTAAAACAAATAACTTTGTGTATCTTAAAACCCCAAGAATATATCTTTCAAAAACAAACACAGATTCCTTTGAGGGTTTAGTACAGTTGACACAAAGGTCCAGCATAAAATAACATAAACCTTCAAAACACTGCCGTATGTAGAATTCCATGAAATGTTTTATACAAATACATGTGAAAACTCCTTCTGTTCTCATTGCATAGAGTCTGCGCAACACTAGGGGGGAGGAAAGGGTGCATTGAGAATGAGTACTCTGCAATGCAAGCAGCCTACTACACACAAGCATCTGTATTAAGACAGCCATAATTTAGCTGTAAGTCGGTTTACTTCTGTCCATCTTATCAAGTCAAACATCATCTATTGACTTTAATTATCAAATCTATCAACTAGGGATGTTAGATAGCATGTAATTAACTAGTCCTGTAACTGCATCAAATTTTAGCAGTTATGTGACTATTTGATTGATAGTTCCTGAGGCAGGGCCAGCAGCCAGTGTGCTCTCAGCCTCCTGTGCTCCTGCCCCTCTATTAGAGGCAGCAGCCCCTGTCTGTGGGGCGGTAGGAAGGAGGGGGCAAAGCTCCCCACAAATAGAGGCTGCTGCTGCAGAAGCTTCCCATCCCTCCCTCCCTCATCCCATTAGAGGCAGTAGCGCAGGGCAGGAAGATGGCAACAGCTCCTGCCTCCCTTCCTCTGCCCCACACTGCCTCTGTAGGAGGCAGCAAGGGGGGGACAGGCACATATGTGAAGCAGGCTCACATGGAGAGCTGCTTATAAGCTGACTCCCTGCACATATTGGTTCCTGCCTGCTCCCCTCATCCTCTGTGCTGCTGCCTCTCTATTAGAGGCAGCAGCATGGCAGGGAGGGGAGAGACACTGGCTCCCACCTCCCCTCCTCTCTAATATAGAGGCAGCAGATGGGGGAAATGCATGTAGTCAAACCTGGGCTTCTTGGTTAATCCTGTTATCAGTTAATCGTGTAGTAATCTACACGTTGACATCCCTACTATCAACATATACCTAGGATTTTAAGAAAAGTAGAATTTTAATAAGGGAAAATAGAAACATTACCAATCGATCTCTTCTACATCCTTTTTAACTTGGATGCTCATTAATACTGCACAAACTTGATTAGGTGCTGACACCATATTTGTTTGACAGGGGAATAAAACTCTGTAGGGAACAGTTTAAAACAGCAACTGTGATGCAATCAAATATAATGTTGACACTGAAGTGCAGCATAGCTCCTCTTTCACATCATCAGCTATTTGACTGTTTGCTACTGGCAAGGAGTTCTGAATAGGATACATTATTTGACAATGCCTATTATGAAAATAACTTATTTCAACCACCTATACAATACTATTTCTATCCAGTTTGAATGCAATAGTGTGTTGTACCACTGTAATTCTAATACCATTCTTGGGCTATTGCTCACTACAATGCTTGCATTTTATATCAAGCTTTTTTTATTTTAGAGAACACTGATAACACTTAGCTAACACAGAGCCAGTTTCTCTCCAGCTGGCAAATGTGACATGAAATCATTCACTCAGTTTCACAGCTATCCATAGTAACTAAGTCACTCAAACAAATCCATCCCTGGTGTAAGCATATTGAAATGAAGATCCTGGATTTATATAAGGATTGAACTGGGCTCATAATTTCCATAAGGGTCAACAGCTGCAAAAGCTGGCTCCTGTGAGGTGGTGTCATGAGGAGAGATCAAGGATTCTTGGGATGGCTAAAAAGATGACATTCTCCAATTATATTAAAATCTTAGAATCCAACATTCACTTCCTACGTTCCATCTCACACAAATTAAACAGATTTAGCGCCTCCCTTCCAATTTTTTGCATTATGAACACTGTAGAATAGCTACACTGCAAATGACTGCATCAGTTAGGTATACACAATACATTTAGCTGGCAACTCGCATGGATTTTCACTTTTGAAAGGTCTTACTCCTTCAGCTGTGGATACAATTTTTTGCTTTGTTAACCTCCAAATCTATAGTAAAATTCAAAGCTGCCAAGAATAGTGAAAGACCACTTAGCAAAATAAAGTGAAAATGAAATAAAACCAAAGGCCTAAATCCACCCCTACTGTAATCCCATTTTTTTTTATCAATGGTATAACTCTGTTGACTTCAGTGGAGTTACTCCAGAGATGAAATGACCCAAAAGTTTATCACTGTTTCTATCTACAATCATAAATGTGTGCTTTTTTCAGTAAAAGTAGCCCAAGAAACCAGTCTGTAATGAAAGTTGGAACAAGGGGAGTTTTGCCTGGTTTCGAATTCTGTTACAGAAGTTTCAGCTTTAAAACAACTGTTAACCCAGTTGGTACTCAACACCTCTGAGCTACTCACACACTCAATGCACTTGGAATTCCCATTGACTTTAGTGGGAATTCTAAGGGGCAAGTGAAGAGAGGGCCACATGCAACATTGAGTCTTCCAAGATCAAACTTTTGTTTCTTTAATTTTCATTTAAGTATTGAGTAAAGTATCGACCAGAAAGTATAATGAATACTGAAAGCAAGAAGACAGTTCAATTTGTAAATCAATGGCTTAGATTTTATCACTGGCTTTCCATATAAGTTCATCCACATGGAAAGAACCAAGAACTGATTCTCCACACATGTGGCAGTAACCACATTGTGACATGGCTTTGATGCAGCATTACATGTGAATAAATGGAAAAGATCTAGTCCATGGCTAATTCTATACAGTAAAATAGTTTTGAGTTTGCTAGCACAGGATTGTGAATGCTTTGCCTAGTTTAAGCAGCACATATGGTCCTGCATCCTAACTTACGTTTTCTAATAATAAGTGAAAGACTGAAGAGTAAAATCCTTATTTGGGCTATTATAAGGGAAGGACTCTTATTGCTTCAAATATTTCTTAACCCTCTCTGGACACTGAAAACATTCAATGACCATAAGCAGTCAAGGCCAATATTGATTTAACTTTGCTACCAATACAAAAAGAGCATAGGCTTGTTTTCTGGACTGTTAATATTTTCCTCCTCTCCTACTTTGTTTGGGTCTTCATGCTCAGAGAAGAGAGTTTTAATGTTGTGTGGCAAATTTAGCCCAGGTAATAAAATCTCAACTTTCTTATACAATAGAGGCATCTACAAATATGATGTTAACATGAAGTATGGATTTTGCACCTTATTTGCTTCTTGGCTCTAAGCCAAATGCAACTGAACACATGAAAAAAAATAATGTAGATTTCCCAACACTGGAACAGTTCCTAAACACAAGAATAGGTATAAATATTAATGCAGTACAGCAAGGCATAGGACTGTTTTTAACTCTGTGGCTCATTTTAGTAAGTGAGATTCTGTCATGCTCTACCTCCTCTCCCATCCCTCACTGTTGGTTTTCAAACTGTTTCATTCCACATGCAATCACGTGCTCTAGAGACTACTGTTGGCTCATGGCCCACAATAAAAGAGCCACAGCACTTGAGAATGTTTTAAAAGATTAAATATATGCATTCAATTCTAATGTTTCAAAGGGGGAGGGGGATTCCCACTTTCATTTTCACGGAAGAGCAGAGCTGGCCCAAGAACTACTTTCTGGGACCCTGACTGGAAGTATGACTCAGTGGTAGGGCTGCCAGATGGTTTCAACAAAAATACCAGACACGCTTGTCATTGCATCTTATTTAGAAAATACCGGACATTTACATTTTCTCAATTTGTTTCCCGGAACAGAAAGCTCAAATACTGGACTGTCTGGTTCAAAACCGGACACCTGGCAGCCCTACATGGGTGTAGGTGTATCCAGGCCGGGAAGTTGCCCGCAGGTGATGTGCTGAGGGCCGCAGCCGGGGCCAAAGAGGAAAAGGAGGCCCTGTGTAGTGTGGGGACCCTCCAGGGGCAAGCGCCCAGGTTCACAGGGTGGGACCACGAGCCCTGGGCTGGGACGAATCCCCAGGGGGATGTTCGCGGGAAGCCTGCCCGTGGCTGCAGGAGCCCTGCGTTGCCAGGATGGGAGTCGCTAAGCACCGGGTGCTCGCTGCCCCGGGGACCCGCTGGCAGGCGAGGGCCCCGCTCTGCG